AGAATATGCCTAGAATCACTTTTTGAGTCGATTCCGCCTGTACATGTTAAATTTTAAAATTTGTCTGCCTCAAGGACGTACCCTATTGAAATTGGTGGAAATCGGTTCAGATTTAGATATATAATTTCCTTCGATTTAAGGTTAATGGTGCACCAAAGTCCCTACATATATTTCGATTTGCACGAAATTTAGATATAGCTCCCATATATATTTTCGTCCGATTTAATGTAAATGGTGCGCCAAAGTCACTAAATATTTTTCGATATGCACGAAATTTGGCATAGGGTACTGCATTGAGTCTATAATGATATATGCTAAGTTTTGTGAAAAAAGGTTTCTTTTACATTTTTAACCTGCAACTGAAATTATTTTACTAACAAAAGTGCTCCAATTTGTTTTTTTCATTTCAGCTCTTCATTAATTTCTCTAATTTGTGAAGTGGCACAATCACGTAAGGTTGATTTCCGTGTTATTGTCGTTGATTCCCGACCCTTCTGTGAAGGTCAGGAACTGTTGCGCCGCCTAACAGCCAAAGAAATTCCCTGCACTTATGTTCTAATCAATGCAATCAGTTTTGTTATGCCTGAGGTGACAAAAGTGTTGTTGGGTGCCCATGCATTGTTGGCCAACGGTTATGTTATGGCACGCACGGGTACAGCACAAGTGGCGTTGGTGGCTCGATCCTTTAATGTTCCCGTCCTGGTATGCTGTGAAACACATAAATTTAGTGAACGTTTTCAAACTGATGCCATTGTCTATAATGAATTGGGTAATCCGGATGATATTGTTGTTGATGATAAATGTTGCCTTTCAAATTGGCAGGCTAAACATAAAATGTCTCCGTTGAATTTGAATTATGACATAACTCCACCAGAATTGGTAACAGCTGTGGTCACAGAAGTTTCCGTATTGCCATGTACAAGTGTTCCGGTTATATTGCGTATGAAACCTGATTGGTCTATTGTCTAAGCGGAACTAATGTTCGGCACGTGGTTACTAATTTCAGTTTTTATTTTGGAATTAAGTTAAGATTAGCTTTTTTCCATTTTTGGTGGTTATTTAATAATATATTCATATACACAATGAGTTGTTATAAGCTAAGCTCCATTTTGTTACACTTTTTTGTCTCTTTTTTATATATATTAAAACACAACAACAATAAAACAATATTATTAAAATATATTTTAAATATCATCGACACTGCCACGATAACCATGATTAAACCAATAAATTCTGATGGTAAAAAAATAAATTAAATCACATAGAGTTAAAATGCTGACACCCAAGAATGCAGACATAACATTGTATAGGCTTACTGTAAGTAAATAAAACATACATATTTATTAAACAAAATAATAATAAAACAAATATTATTTCAGTAATTTACCAACATTGTCAAGAAATGTGTACATTACACTCCTTTCAAATGTCCCCCAGGGTGGATATTCAATGGACAAAATAATAATGCCAGATTCGTTTGATTCTAAGGGAAATGTTGAAACCTATAAACAATATATCATCAAGAAGAAAAAAATTAGTTATTTTATTTATTTACAAATATCTTCACCTCTGTCAGAATAACCTGGTCGATACAATTAGGATAACATTGACATTTTACGTTTGCTGGTAATGATTTTGAATTTGAGTAAATATTACGAATTCGCTTTGAATGCCTATAAATACAATTTAACCGCATTATATTGCATATAGGTTTGTCAACTTGAAACGATTCAGCTAGATTCCGTTTAAAATAGAAATGTGGTATACAATGACATTTTTCAAGTATATAATTTGTCCGGCATTCCATTAAACATAAATTTTGAGAATACATCTCCGGAAACATTGATAGATGAGATGGAGTTATACTATAGCAACGCCTTTCATGCAAATTGGTTTCGCTGTGAAAAATTTACAAAAATATTATAAAACAAACATTCTGTCATAAATAATCCATAAATCTACAATACCTCAATAGATTTTCCTGCATTGTTATCTCCTTGATTTTTGCTACTAATTTTGTTCCTGTTTGAACACCATCCTCATCAGCGCTTACAATGGCAGCAGGTTTTGTCCATGTTGTTGGTAGTTCGTAAGGTGAATGTACAAATATTCTCATCTTCCCCTTTATGTTATGTATGATTTTCGTTTCTATGGGAAAAGTGTTGCTAAAGTTGAAGGTGTCTGGTAATCCCTTCAAAGATTGGTTGATATGTCGGGGATGTGGATACGGATCATACCAATTTCTATGATTAACAAAGAAAATAATTTTTGGATTTATATACACACATATGCAATGCTTTTTACATTGTATTCATTTCATGGTGCAGCAAATTTCTTAGGGTATAACAAATTCCCACATCTGTCATTATTTTTACAGCAGAGACTCCTCCGTCATATTTCACATTGAAGACATGGGATAGGCTAAGGGTATCACAATTTTTGAAGTTGCAGATTAAATCAACTATATTATATATATTTACTTGAAAACCAATTCCATATAATTCTTAGGTGGTATTCTTTTAAATTGCATCTTAAAGTTTTCGGCTCGTCCACTATTTACATTAGACAATTTTTGAAGAAAGTCAAGCATATTTACCTTGTCTTCATTGCTGGTTTCATTGTTGTAGTCACTTTGAAATATAAAAATAATAATGAAAGATATAATTCTTCTTCTTCTATAAGACTTTAAGATAGTATTCCGCACTATAGAATTTTATTAAAGATTTTAGGGTCATCTATAATAATATAAGACATTTAGGTTATTTTATATAATTAACTAAAGGCTTCTATCTGAACAGGATAGGAATGGTCTTATATACGAAGAGCAAAAGACATACAGGGTATTCTCCATATAAGATCTCTTTATGATAGAGAATACATCTAAGGTCTTACATATAAATACAAGACTTCTCTAGTCTTGTAGGATTATAGCAGCAGAGGTAACAACCAACCAGATTGATCACCTACCTGTCAACCATCTCAACCTTCATGAAGGAAAGAATGTTGTATATATCGCCGTCAAAATCCACAGATACTCTATTACCTTCTGGACGCGTGAACAAAGGCAAGAACTTGATATAAGAGTCGATGATAGAAGAATCATGGGTGTTGTGTTCGATAACTTGCTCCATTTCTCTAAACATGCAGCGTACATTAAAATGAATATCCAGACAAAAAATAAGGTTCTGAAAGCGCTGACAGGAACCTCCTGATGAAACGACAAGGAAACCATCTTTAGCTATGCTGCCCCAGTCTGGACCTCCTTTTAAGCGACACTAGATAGCGTAACCTACAAGATGCACAGAATAGTGCCCTCAGGATTGCTACCGGCTGTGTTTTGATATCGAGCGTGGATCACCTTTATAAGGAGACGAGGATACTGTCTGTACGGCAACATAATTGGTCTGTTCCAGTACTTTTTAATAGTGAAGCTAGTAAAAGGGAAACATTTCAAAATCGCCCTCAGAGTACAAAATAATTTGAAAAGTTCGGGAAGTAAATATGCCAAAATTATATGGCAATACTTCAAAATCAACATAACAGCCAATCAGAAGTAGGCATTCCTGTTTACCATTTTTACTCGTTCAAATTTGGCTCAAAATTTTACTAGTTTTGTGGGTTGGGGAACGGTTTGCGAGTAAAAAGTAGATTCTTTTACGTTCTGGAACGGAACTAATGTGTTGCTTGCTAGACAGTTCCTCCTGGCCTACCATCTGCCTAGTCACTCAAACCATCACATTGTGATGCAGGATCCTCCTCCACGACATATCCGGAAGGACACCAGGCACTTCCGCCCGGACATCCAAGACGTAATACCAACTGACGTCAACAGATTGTCAATAGCGGCAGGCCTGAAGCATCTGCATAAAACACGGCTCAAGAAACCGTCAACTGTCATCCACCAGCAATTTCAGATAGCGAGAGACATATCGGGCTCGGATAGTCCCTGACATCCAAGATCAATGTGCAAACTGTCAACAGTCCCCGCACAATACGGCACAACTCCGGTCTGGATGGAGCAACATTGTAAATTGTTATCGGGCTCGGACAGTCCATGACATCCAACATCAATGTCCAAACTCCGTACAATACGGCACACATATTCGTCTGTCCAGTGGACTATCTTTATGAGTAGACGAAGATCTTATCCGTCAATCGACACAATTATATGTTGTCGATGCATATCTTATGGCCGAACACCACCGCCCAGGCATGTCAGGAGAGATATTCATGACCTAGAGAGAGGGGTCCAAAGTTAAAAGCATGAATCTCTAGATCAATAAGCCTATCAAGCAGGTCTGAATGGTATTCACACAGACGCAATACTGTGTTAATACCATAACCGGAGACCCCCCTATACATCACAGCAGAGGAAAAGCAGATGCCCCTACAAACACGAGTAGTCTTAGTTCCACTAAGATCTTGATGGTGCAACCGCCTCCATTCGAAACCAAATATATGTCCTGACTATCACCTATCGCCGAATTCACTATGGACCCAACCCATTCAAGTTGCAATATTTCTGAATTTGGAGATAGAGGAACCAGAATCAGACAATCCATAAGCCATAACATGTATTTTATTGCTACAACAACTAGCCGATAGAAGACCTCTAGATGATTTGTAAAGGAAGTACTAGACAATAGAAGACCTGAACCATCTTTTATATGAATATGATACCTTATGGTCTTCTATATATTAATAGAAGACTTTGAAATATTTATAAATAAAATACCTTTTTAATTCTTGTATACGTCCAAAAGACCTTAGACCTTTTCTATATGCATTGGAAGATCTTAAAAAGGTCTTACGAAGTCTTTTGTAAGAATATTCCAAAGCAGCAGAGGTTTCCAAGTTGACGGGCAATCATAGACTGGGTTAACTATATGGTAAGGAATAGATGGATTAGCTGTAACATACAGGACATAACAATCAGAGAACACCACAGGGAGGGATTTTATCACCGCTCCTGTATGTAACTACCATAAATGGACTCTTAACCGATGAAGAATTTGACCCAGTCTGTTATGCAGGTGACTTTATAACACTTCTTGGGGGAAAGAATCCTAACATACTATGCGGGAAAGCCGAAGCGGCGCTAAACATCGCCTACGATTGGGCTAAACCGAGGGTCTTAAACGTAAATCCGGACAAAACGGAAATATGTCTTTTGACTAGAAAGACAAAAATAGGTCAATATGAAGAGCCAATCTTCCAAAACAATACGATAGCCATATCAAACCAAGTATCTGGGAGTAATTCTAGACAAGAAACTTAAATGAAAAGACCACATACAGCAAAGGGCTGACAAGTATTATAGATGCTGGTCCTTTTTGTAGAAGAGCCGTAGGCTCTAAATGGGGTTTCAAGCCTATGATGATACACTGGATCTATAAGAGCGGTATTAGATCAATTCTAACATACGCGTCTTTTGTCTGATGGACAGCAAAGGATAAAAAAATGTAACGTAAAAGCGTTGCAGAAAATTCAGAGAACGTGTTGTCTAGGTATATGTGGGGCAATGCGATTAACACCAACCAGGGAGTTGGTAACACGATACGAAACTATAATACCAGATAGAGAACAATGGAATAGTGGAACACTAGTTCAGATGCCGGCTGGTAACTGTTGCTACACAGATGGCTCTCGACTAGGAGGAAAAACTGGACTGGGACATTTTTATCGAAGAACCGGGTACCGAAATTTCTCTTCGTCTTACAGATCACAGCGCGATCCTACAGGAGGAGGTTCAAGTTAAGTTCAAACCAAGGACGAAATACAATAAATATTATTACAAAAACCCCTATCGGAGCATATATCACCTAGGATGCTGGGATGGTCATTGATGCAAAGGGCATACCAGTACAGCATAGAGCATTAAGCAGACTACCATTGCAAGAGGAAGGTGTATTTATTCCCGAAATATTATATTGTGGAGAAGGAGAAAACCCGTTCCTAATAACTTCAAAAGAAATAGCTAAGGCCTGAAACGAGAGTATTAACACGATACGAAACTATAAGACCAGATAGAGAACAATGGAATAGTGGAACACTAGTTCAGATGCCGGCTGGTAACTGTTGCTACACAGATGGCTCTCAACTAGGAGGAAAAACTGGACTGGGACATTTTTTATCGAAGAACCGGGTACCGAAATTTCTCTTCGTCTTACAGATCACAGCGCGATCCTACAGGTGGAGGTTCAAGTTAAGTTCAGACCAAGGACGAAATAAAATAAATATTATTACGGATAGCAAACAAGCTATAAAGGCAAAATCTTCCAAAACTGTACTGGAATGTATAAATACCATTAATGATTTCTCACAACAAAGACCTGTACGAGTCACACTAACGCTAAACAAAAAAAAAAAAAAAAAGAACTAAGCCGACTGACGGGTATTCTAACTGGACACCTTAGCCCGAAGGCACATCTATTCAATATTGGATGCGAAGGTAGCAGCATGTGCAGAGCGTATGGAGAAGACAGTGAAACGCTGGAACATTTCCTGTGCCATTGCCCAGCATTTATATGCTTTCGGAAACAATTCTTGGGAAATTACACTTTTTACGGATTAACCGATCTCGGGGCTGTGAATGGAGAAGACTGAAGGAGTTCTCAAAAAACACGGAATTCCTATATTCATAGGGGGATCAAACCCATTTTTTTAATCTAAAATTTAATTTAACTAACGCACAACAGGCCTCAATTGACTTATGCATATGTCCTTCCCATGTTGGACATGTGGTGGTATTATCCACCCCTCTTTTCAACCTAACCTATATTTTTGAAGTCATCTCCCTTTAAAACGAAAAATATCCCACAAAATGTTATCACATTCTTCCACTTCTGTTGTAATCCAGAATAACTAATTTTTCCCCAAAGTCGATTTTATCGCTTTCGAATTTGATTCAGAATAAGGGGAAAGTGAAAATGCGAAAAATATTCGCTGCGAGTTCTGGTTAAGAATAATTTTACAGGGAAGAGCGAAAAAATTCACAGTGAATTGATGTCCAGAATAAGGCTGATATTCTATTTCAATATTTTTTTACTTACCTTAAAAAATTATTCACTTTATTCTTATCCAATATGTCTTGTGGACAAAGGGTCATTGAAGGGTTTATTGTATTTAATTTCATATAATCCACATTGTAAGTTATGGCCGAATTGCGGGACTCATAAATTCGTAATATGTCCAGGCCACATACAAAACCAGATATAAGCATAAATAATATGGCCAATAGCCAATAAATCCTAAATGATTAATAAAAAAAGTTTGTTATATATTTTCTAAAATTATTTCAAAATTCTTCAAACATTTAAAATTAATTTTTTATTTTATTCATATCCTATTGTATCCACTTACAATTCACACCAATGTATATTTCTTCTGGCCAAATAAGCCATACCATGCAGTGGATTTCGGCTGGCAAAATCCACCAAATAACGTAAAACGATTTGAGTTTTTCCATTGTGCAGAAATTTTATCATTATTCTATACACACAAATTACTCAACCAACGTTTCCCATCCAGTTGAAAATGAAAACTACAATTAGTTCTAGTTTTTACTAAAGCATATATATATGGAGATACTTCTTCTTTTATTATTTCATAATATATTTGACTGTTTTTTTTTAATAATTTTTATTCTTTTTTTTTGGTTTTTATATTATGTAGTATATTATTATTTCTAACAGGTTTTGTCGAGTATATCAATCAAAATTGTAATATGATTGAAATTTGATTATACATTAAAGTTATTATATTTTTCGAGTTATTTTTTTTTGTCAAATAGATAAAATATTATATTGGTAATTTGTTGTTGTAGTTGTTTGTATAAATATATGTGTGTATGTTTGTGATGCAAATACGTAACTGCAATTAGCTGGTGAAATAATATATTATTAAAAAGTTGAGTGTGAACCAATTAATGGGCGGTTGAGGTGTATTTCGATGATATATTGATTGGTGGTGAAACGATTCAGAGTATGTGGACCCGAACAAAAGCTGTTCTTAGATGGCAGCTTAAAATTAAAAAGGTGTAAATGTGAGCTATACTTTTTACGATTTATAATAAATCGAGACGGGGTGCAACCGACTGATTGAAAGATCAGGGCATTTTCTAAAGCACCGGAACCAACAACAGCTGCAATCATTTTTGGGTTTAATTACATTCGAACGATTTTTCCGAAATAAGTCAAGTGTGTTCGAGCCGTTGTATAGTCTATTGAAGAATGATGTCAAGTTCAAGTGGGGACGAGAACAAGCTACGAGTTTTGAACATGTAAAAAAATATCTCCAATTGGAAAATCTCTTAGTTCAATACTCCCCAGATTTGCATTGATTTTAAATGGTGATGCTTCGCCGTACGGAGTCTTAGCTAACGTCATGCCAGATGTTCTTGAGGCTCCAATTGCTTTTGGGTCCACAACACTTCAACCAGCTGAAAAGAAATATTTCCATTTAGATAAATAGGCACTTGCTATTATTTTTGGTGTCAAGAAGTTCAACCATTTTTTGAGCGGAAGAGAATTTATGATCTTAACAGATCACAAACCGCTTTTGGGATTATAAAATCCACAAAAATCCATTTTGGAACATATATCACCTAGGATGCTGGGATGGTCATTGATGCTAAGTGAATCCCAGTACATCATGAAGCATTAATCAGACTACCATTGCAAGAGGAAGGTGGATTTATTCCGAATATTGTGGAAAAGGAGAAAACCAGTTCCTAATAACGTCAAAAGAAATAGCTAAGGCCACAAGGAAAGATCCAATCCTCTCAAAAGTATTATGGTACATTCAACAGACAGATGCCGATCTACCAAAAAATCGGACCAGTTCAAGCCATATTATACCAGGGTAAATGAGTTGAGTGTGAATGCCCAATGTTTACTCTAGGGTATAACAGTTATAATACCTGAAAAATTCCGGAACCAAAACCATGACCTGCAACATCTAGACCGTGGTCGAGATTTCATATTGTTTTTTCCCGGTCCATTTATGGGAACCAATTTCCTTATTATTGTTGATTCACGCATCAAATGGGGAGAAGTTAAAATAACCAGAGACATCAGCTCTACAAAAACAATCAAATTAATGAGAGATGTATTTGCAATACATGGATTACCGGACACCAGTGTATCCGATAATGGTAGGAAGGTGGTGTCGGATGAGTTCGAAACATTTTTGTCCGCCAATGACAAATGCGGTTTCCCGTACGGTTAAAAAAATGTATATTTTCAAAAGTATATATATATATATTCCGACATGAAATTTTGAATTCACATCACATGGTGGAAAAGTTCAATACGCAAAAGTTCGGTCCGGTGGAACTTAAAGAGTTTTTATTTGTTTTAACATACTTTTCGTCCGATCGACATGTCCAGTATTTCTTAATTTCAAACTGCATTAAATTGTTTTCTTTAAAATGTTTTTAAATTGGATACATTTAATAGTGTAAAAAAATGAATGTAAAAAAATGATAAAAAATAATTATGAGAAGTAAACTATATAATTTGTAGTAATTTTCACACTCACTTTAATATTGTAGAGGTTACTGATTCTTTTATGAAATATAAACAAAAATTTCATTTAATTATTTTTTTGTGCTTAGAAAATATCTATTGAAATTAAATAAAACAATAATTCGAATTTGAACTATAAACACTCAACTACTTAAATTAACATTTTTATGAAAAAATTTCGTGAAATAAAATTAATAAACAAAAAATTTGAGGATTTTTTTGAAAAATTAAACAAAATCTATTATATAATTTTATTTTCTTAGATGTGTCTAATATATAAAAAATATAATAATAACAATAATGAGGAAGTTTATATTTTTTTCGTTTAATTTTTCGGTTCTTTCAAATCTAACAATTTAATTAAAATTATGATCATACTGTTTTGTTTAATTTAAAATGCATTTTTTGAAATATATATGTATAATTTAATAATTTCATTATTGTTTTTGTATAATAATAACTTGATTATTTTTGACTTAAATTAAATTTTCCTTTTTTCTCTTGTTACATTTTTTTAATTTTTGATTCCGCTATACACAAGCATATCGTATACCCGATATATACACAACAAAACAATTATGCTTATTTTGTATTATATTTATTAATGTTGTTTCTATTTGTGGTATATTTTTTAATACCAGAAATAGAAAGAGAGACTCAGACAGACAGATAAAAAGATTCATACAGTTTATTTTTTTCATAATACAGTCATAAAAAACATACCTTCTTACATACGCTTTCAGGTACCCACCATTTCATTTAACGGGCAAATAATAGCGTCCTTAGTAAGCAATCTTATTGTATTATATATATGTGTAAATATTTACTTTAACTTGTTGTTGGTTTTTTTTGCTTTCTTTCTTTTTTAATTATCCCAAACATTTAACACAGCAGACTTACGCTTGGTATACAAGCGATACAGGAATTCCGTTTGACTAAACAATTTGTGTTTCATCATAAATTTATGGGCTAATCTTCTGTACCAGACGAAAACACGTACGACAAACGGGCACCGGTTTACCGCTATCCTGTCCGGGTAGGGGAATATTTTTATCGATACACCGTTCACAGAATATTTCACCACATTTCCAGCAGTGAGTCTGAAACAGAAGGAAAAAGAAGATTTTGTTAATGGAAGGTGGACAAATCTATTGACAATAGAGCGTCGTTGACATTGAAATTATATGATAAAGAAGGTCCAACCTACCTTCTTACTAAATTGATCGAATGGCGTTGAGCATGAACAGGCTGTAACATTGCGCATGGATTTCCAATCAACAGCTACCGAATTGATTTCCTCATGTATGGTACTGGGATCGACTTCATCGGAAAGCTAAAAAAAATTGACAATTAGAATTAGAAAAAATGGTACATATATGAACGACCTACCGATAAACTAGCAAAGGATATGCCACCACCACCACTACTGGTATTAGCACCACCATTACTGCCACCTGAAGGTTTCAAGGGATGATCATCATCTGCCGATGATAGTTCACTCATTTTCTTATCATAATTATATCTGAAAGGAAAGTAAATGCTATTAGTTACGTGACTGAGATTTCGAATTGGTGTCAAAAACGGTACTTATTATCATTGGTATCCGTTCCTGAAGATTCTTTGGTTGTTGATTTCGAGGATGTAGCATCTTGGATTTTCTTTGCTGATTTGGAAATGTAGTTCTTAAAGCTAGTAATACGCTGTAAAATTAAACAATAATAATAACAGAGTTGTTAGTTGACTGTGCAACAAAATTTTTGTAGGTGGACAATTCCTTATGGGGATAACAGCACTTGGCGGGAATATTAAGAATCCAGAAAGAAAAAAATCTATTGTTTTTTGAGTTGTGGCGCGATGATTTTTTACGGGTAACTTTAAGTTTATGAAGAAAAAGGTTTAAATCTTTGTTTGCGATTAATTCAAGTCAAATCGAACGACTCTCAAATATTCTACAAAAATGTCTTTTAAAAGATTTAATATAGAGTCCCCAAAGATAAGAAAACGTTATTCCTACGTTTTCATTGTAATTTTTCACATTTACCCGGTCTTTGCTAAGAAAATATTACAGATCAAATCTTTTTAAAATTCTACGATCTCGAAATTAATAAAACTTGTATTCGATATGAAAAACGCAGCGTATATGGCAACCCTGCAGACAGCAGCAACACGCAATGCGAGAGAGAATTAACGGGAAACAATGAGAGAAGAGAAACGTATTTTCAGAAAAAAGAATAAAAACGTGAGCAGGAGCAAATCGAGATGTACAGGAGTCAGAACGAAGTCCGGAAAATTTACCAACGAGTAAAACACTAAACCGAAGGCTTTGGTGCAGGCATATCCTCCTGTAGAGATGAAGAAGGAAAGCTGGTGACAGATACAGACAGCGTATTGAGGATCTGGAAGGAGCATTTTGAAAGGCTTCTGGTATCAAATTGTCGTGGTGAAGAAAATACCCCAAAACCTATAAGAGATGACGGTCAGAATATCAATCTATCTGGTGAAGAATAATAAAGCAGCAGGTGCCGATGGGTTACGGCATATCTTCCTGTATAGATGAAGAAGGAAACCTGGTGACAGACAAAACTTCTGGTAGCAAATAGTGGCGGTGAAGAAGATACCCCAGAACCAATAAGAGATAACGGTGTAGAGTGTATACCACCTAGTCAAGATGAGGTCAGAATAGCAATCAATCGGCTGAAGAATAATAAAGCAGCATGTGCCGATGGGTTACCACGCCGAATTATTCAAGACTGGTGGTCAGATGCTGGTCAGGAGCATGCATCAGTTGATTACTACAATTTGGCTAGATGAATGCATGCCCAATGATTGGAACCTCAGCATCATGTGTCCCGCCCATAAAGAAGGAGACAAGACGATATGTGCCAACTATAGAGGAATTATCCTTCCTCCCATCGCATATAAAGTGATATCCAGTGTGCTGTGTGAACGATTGAAGCCCATGGTCAATGACATTATTTGACCATACCAAAAGCCATGTCTGGGTTTGAAAGGACCTGTCGGAGGAGCACGCCACAATCAGATCTAAACGCAATGCTGAACATAAGGCCTCTGGCCCTCAGGCTGCATGAACAAAATCTTTGGCGAAGTTGTACCTTTGAGCATGGTTGTATCTTGAACGAAAAAGGTATGACATAGGATCAAAGCGCAAAACTAAGTGACTATATATCACCAGTCCTAAGATTTGATTTGGTGTAGATATCGTTATTGCTACTAGGGACGACTGGAACCGGAGTAACCCACCTCTGGACGGTCTGACTTTCTATACAGACGGATCCAAGATGGAAGAAGGATAGTCAAGCGGCTCTTAAAGCCATCAAATCCTGTTACATCAAATCTGAGGCCGTCCTCAAGTGCAGAACAGCTTTGGACTTACTTACAGCTATCGGCTGTGTTGGGTACCAGGACACCCTGACATCTTTGGTAATGAAAGAGCAGACGAATTAGCTAGATGAGGATCTCAATCCACAGACCTAGCAATTGATGACTCAATCAAATCACGCATAAGCCATCTTTATCGGAACTTTGTTCGTTCTTGGACGAAAGAGCCTATGAACTTTGGCAAAAAGAACATAGGTGCAATGTGTCAAGATCTATTTGGACGACTCTGTCTACCAAAAGGACACTAATAACATCATCATTTAAATCCCGAGAAGAGTTGTGTTGGCCAACAGATGATACTATGGTCTAAGTAAGCAATTAAGAGACAATGCCACCTCTCGCCAGACCAAGCTCACACTCTACAATACACTAATACTACCCGTGCTGGTGTATGGATCAGATGCGTACTTGAGCAAGAAGATTAGGCAGCTCTTGGAGTTCTTGAGAGAAAAATTCTTCGAAAGATCTATGGGCCAATCTGCGTTGCCGGTGAATATTGCCGTCGAATGTGCCATGAGTTGTACCATATATTCTCAGATTTCGGCTTTGTCAGACGTATCGAGCTGCAGCGACTACGTTGGCTAGGTGATGTTGTGAGAATGGATGAGGATGCCCCAGCACAAAAAAACATATAAAAGCAAGCCTACTGATGGCTCACGCAGAAGGGGGATGCCTCAAATTAGATGGAAAGATCAAGTGAAAGAGAACATTTCGAATTGGAAGAGCTGCGCACAAGACCGAAGCGCTTGGAAATATGAAAGAAATGTTCTGTCACAAGCTAGCTAAGTATGTAAGTAAGGTATTTGAAAAGAATGTGGTCTCGTACCGAAAAATATGTCAAAATCTAGCTACATACCTTAGTCAAGTGTTGTACGTGATCCTCCAACGAGGTGGTGTGATCCTTACTGGCAAGCAATAGATCTCCCAATGGTTCACGGGGATGAACGCCGCTTTCAAAACGGCTATACATGCCACGCCAAAATCTAATGAAAACACAAATTAACAAAAATATAATATAATTCCCCCCATTCCCAACTTACTTAATACATTGTGGTGCCAAATTGGGTTTAATTGTCTCATCGACATCGGGTTTATACAGCGGATTTATATATTCATTCAAATGATTAGACATATAGCCCCACAGTGAAAATGTACGCTTGGCCAATTGTAAATCTAAACGATCCTTTTCACAATTACCAACAAACGTGCCGAATTGACACGAATGCACATGATCGTGTAGTATTAGCAGGAAACGTTCATTGAATTCGAAAGCATCACTACGCTGTGACATCAGCTGCCATGTACAATCTAAGAATTGTGTGAATATGGGTGAAACTTCACGTGGATCATTTTGTATGTGACCGCAGCGATCACTGAATTTGTGACCGAATGCCAACCAGTCCTTTTCGATGAGTGCCTGAAATTTTGGTATATATGTAGTTATTTTGTTGTAGTTGTCAATTATATAGGAAATATTGGATTTGCTTCTGAACTCACCTGAAAACCTTTTATTGTACGATAATAGGGGTCCAACATCAATGCAGCCAAAGAACAAACTTGTGCGGTACGATCCCAACCATCTGAACAGTGGACTACAACAGAGACGCCTTTGTCGACGACATTTGAAATGAAGCTGGAAGAAAGGTAAACAAATATTAAAAAATTAAAACCGGAGACCCTATAAAGTATATTCTTGATCAGAATAAAATTATATGTCGATTTATGCATGTCTATTAAAAATCAGGATAGATTTAAGATAGAGCTTTTGAATTTTGTACATACATGCGTTTACTCCCAGGATGTTTGGTATTGAATTTGGTATTTTAGGGATATTTGACGCTTTTTCCAACGGAATCGGCTGTAATTTGGTATTTTGGGCTTTCATTGGGTAACACATCATCCTACCAAAAATGATCAATAATGATCCACTTTTTACAATAGCCCCCATATAACGGTACCCCTAAATATTCGGTATTTTGGTTTGCCATATGTTCCTACTAAAAATGATTAAAATTGACCCACTTTTTACGATAGACCCCATATAACGGTATCTTCCAAATTTCTGTATGTTGGAGAGCTTAGGCACGTTTTACAACCGAATTGGCTCTAATTCGATATTTTGGGTTTTCATTGGGTAACATATATTCCTACCAAAAATTATCAATATTGGTCCACTTTTTACCATAGCCCCCATATTACGGCTTCTCTCAATTTTCGGTATTTTGCGGAGTTTTGGCGCGTTTTCCAACCGATTCGGCTAAAATTTGGTATTTTGGGTTCTCTTGGGTATCAAAAATTTTCAATATTGGTCCACTTTTTACGATAGCCCCCATATAATGGTACTTTCAAAATTTCGACATTTTGGGGAGTTTGGGCACGTTTTCCAAACGAATTGTCTGTAATTATTAATATTGGTCCACTTTTTACGATGGCCCCTATATAACGGATCCTTTAAGGGATTTTTGACACGATTTCCAACCGAATTAGCTGTAATTTGGTTACAGCTAATTCGGTTGGATAACACATCCTCCTACCAAAAATTATTAATTATGGTCCATCTTTTACGATAGCCCCCATATAACGGTACTTCCCACATTTCGGTATTTTGGGGATTATAGGAATGTTTTCGAACCGAATTGGCTGTAATTTGGTATTTTGGGTTCTTATTGGGTAACACATATTCCTATTGGTAAATATTGGCCCACTTTTAAGGATAGCCGCCACATAACGGTACCTCCCAAATTTCGGAATTTTAAGGAGTTTGGGCATGTTTTACAACCGAATTGGCTGTAATTCGGTATTTTGGGTTCTCATTGGGTATATTTCTACTAAAAATGATCAATATTGGCCCACTTTTTGCGATAGCCCCCATATAAAGGTACCTCCCAAATCTCGGTATTTTGGGGAGTTTGAGCTCGTTTTTGGATCGAATTGGCTGTAATTTGGTACATAGAGTTTCCATTAGGTAGCAAATCTCCCTACCAAAAATTATGGATATCGGTCTCTATTTTAGCATAGCCCGAATTGGCTGTAATTCGGTATTTTGGGTTCTCATTGGGTATCACATATTCCTACTAAAAATTATCAATATTGGCCCACTTTTTGCGATAGCCCCCATATAAAGGTACCTCCCAAATCTCAGTATTTTGGGGAGTTTGGGCGCGTTTTTGGATCGAATTGGCTGTAATTTGGTACATAGAGTTTCCATTAGGTAGCAAATCTCCCTACCAAAAATTATGGATATCGGTCTCTATTTTAGCATAGCCCCCATACAACGGTACTTGCCATTATTCGGTATTTTAGGGAGTTTGGTCACGTTTTTAATCGAAATGACTCTAATTTGGTTCTCATTGGGTGTCGAATCTTCCTAACAAATATCCCAGCATTTATAAAGGCCCCGAACTATTACTGATATTTAAATATCCACTTCATAGTGGCGGGTGTCGAATCTTCTTACCAAATATCCCAGCATTTATAATGGGATATTTAAATTATTACTGGCATTTTAAATATCCACCTCATCGTGGACGATTTAAAAATTCGGTATATTGAATGAAAAATATTATTAAAAATCCTGATATCGACTGATATTTCCTTCCTATTTTCCTTTTCTTTTATTTATTTCCCCACTGTCAAGTGCAACAAATCTTAAATTCACTACCATTCCACTTACCTTGACGTATCCAATATGGAGCGTATATGCTTTAGCCAACCCGATGATTCCAATGCATTAAGGAAACCGCTCATTGTTGGTGCTTTCTGTTCGCAGGCTTCAATCAATTTCTGTAAACTTGTCCTTTGTGTGTGAATATTCTCAATACCGAGAAAGTGGAATTTTATATTTTCATAGAATGCCTCATTTTCATAACCTTTGCCGGCGGCACGATTTGCCAAAGCGTTTATCTGTAAGCAAGGGGAAAAGAAGACATAGAGTCGTAAAAAAAACACAAGTGGATAGAAATAAAAACAAACAAAAAATATGCAAAGCAATAACTGCAAAAAAAAGTAAAAAATAATGCACAATATTATACTTCAGGGCAGAGATTGGAGGGGATGGAGAGCGAGAGTAGAAGAAGTAGTTTGGTTTGTGGTTGTGGCAGTTAAAACAATAACAGTTGTTTTTGTACAGTTTTAACCCATAACGGGGTTCAAACTGAAATGCTTTCAAATTTTTTACATACAAAAACCGTCGTGTGCAATATTTTTATACCCTTCACCACACTGTGGTACAGGGTATTATGTCTTTGTGAATATGTTTGTAACAGGCAAAAGGAAACGAGATAGACACATGGTTCCTTTTGAGAATATGCATAGAATCACTTTCTAAGTCGATTTATGCATGTCCGTCCGTCTGTCTGTCTGTCCATGTTAAATTGTAAACAAAGTACAGGTAGCATTTATGATCCGAATTGGATAAAATTTGGCATAGGTCACTTATTCGGCCCAAGGACGAACCCTATTGAAATTGGGAAAAATCGGTTCAGATTTAGATATAGCTCCCATATATATATTTAACCGATTTAATGTAAACGGTCCCTATATATCTTTCGATTTGCACGAAATTTGGTACAGCCTAATCATTTAGGTCTAGAATGATGTCTGCCAAGTTTCGTGAAAATCGGTCCAGATTTAGATATAGCTCCCATATATAGTTTCGTCCGATTTCATGTAAATGGTGCCCCAAAGTCCCTATATATCTTTCGATTTGCACGAAATTTGGCATAACGTACTGAATTAAGCCTAGAGTGATGTCTGCCAAGTTTCGAGAAAATCGGTCCAGATTTAGATATAGCTCCCATATATAGTTTCGTCCGATTTCATGTAAATGGTGCCCCAAAGTCTCTATATATCTTTCGATTTGCACGAAATTTGGCATAACGTACTCTCTTGAGCCTAGAATTATGTCTGCGAAGTTTCGAGAAAATCGGTCCAGATTTAGATATAGCTCCCGTATATAGTTTCGTCCGATTTCATGTAAATGGTGCCCCAAAGTCCCTATATATCTTTCGATTTGCACGAAATTTGGCATAACGTACTGAATTAAGCTTAGAGTGATGTCTGCCAAGTTTCGAGAAAATCGGTTCAGATTTAGATATAGGTCCCATATATAGTTTCGTCCGATTTCATGTAAATGGTGCCCCAAAGTCCCTATGTATCTTTTGATTTGCACGAAATTTGGCATAACGTACTGAATTAAGCCTAGAGTGATGTCTGCCACGTTTCGAGAAAATCGGTCCAGATTTAGATATAGCTACCATATATAGTTTCGTCCGATTTCATGTAAATGGTGCCCTATAGTCCCTATATATCTTTCGATTTGCACGAAATTTGGCATAACGTAATGAATTAAGCCTAGAGTGATGTCTGCCAAGTTTCGAGAAAATTCGCCCTGATTTAGATATAGCTTCCATATATAGTTTCGTCCGATTTCATGTAAATGGTGCCCCAAAGTCCCTTTATGTCTTTCGATTTGCACGAAATTTGGAATAACGTACTGAATTGAGTCTAGAATGATGTCTGCCAAGTTTCGTGAAAATCGGTCCAGATTTAGATATAGCTCCCATATATAGTTTCGTACGATTTCATGTAAATGGTGCACCACATATACCTTGAGATTTGCACGAAATTTGGCATAACATACTGAATTGAGCCTAGTTACGTAGTTGCGTTTTCTAGAAGTACAGACATAGCCCAACGATGACCTATTTATATTTGTTTGAAGTCGATTTACATACTTTATGGATAGATCTTGGTAGATTCACATTTAGATAAATATCACATATTTTATTTCATCCAATTTCATGTTAATAGTCCTGTTTAATATACCCATAGTAGTGAAGGGTATCATATAGTCGGCCCCGTCCGACTTTACTACTTTCCTTACTGGTTTTTTATTTGAAAAGTGTTGAATGATGCGGAAGATTCCGTATTTCTTTATTTCTATCGATGAAGTTATATTATTTCCCTATATTGTATTGTATGAGGGTTAAGGTTTTATATTTATTTTTTGTCTTCCTTTACGTAAAACGGGATTATATTATGTTATGGACATTTTCGACATTAATATGAAATGTATATTGAGGTTGGATAAATCTTCTTTTTTATATTTTCTATTTGTACATTAGATTTAAGAGCAAGTGAAATGACTATAAATGTCTGTCTATAAAAGGATTTTGGATAAGAGATTTTGTTTTCTTTTTTTTGCATTTTAAAATAAAAGATGTCACGTTGCAGGAACACCAAGAAGATGACAATGAAAATGATTTAAATATATATCTAATGCATTTTGAATTTATAGAATTTTAAAATCCCAAAAGCAGTTGATCGAATTTTGATGATACTTTAATTTTGGATTTTTAATTATTTAATTATTCAGCACATTCAACGCATGTAGTAAGCCGATGGACCGTTATTTATGCCACAAGACCGTTCCAAAATGGAGGAATACGCTGATTTGTTTTTATACCCTTCACCACACTGAGGTACAGGGTATTATGTCTTTGTGCATATGTTTGTAACAGGCAAAAGGAAACGAGATAGACACATGGTTCCTTTTGAGAATATGCATAGAATCACTTTCTAAGTCGATTTATGCATGTCCGTCCGTCCGTCTGTCTGTCCATGTTAAATTGTAAACAAAGTACAGGTCGCATTTATGATCCGAATTGGATGAAATTTAGCATAGGTCACTTATTCGGCCCAAGGACGAACCCTATTGAAATTGGGAAAAATCGGTTCAGATTAAGATATAGCTCCCATATATATATTTAACCGATTTAATGTAAACGGTCCCTATATATCTTTCGATTTGCACGAAATTTGGTACAGCCTAATCATTTAGGTCTAGAATGATGTCTGCCAAGTTTCGTGAAAATCGGTCCAGATTTAGATATAGCTCCCATATATAGTTTCGTCCGATTTCATGTAAATGGTGCCCCAAAGTCCCTATATATCTTTCGATTTGCACGAATTTTGGCATAACGTACTGAATTGAGTCTAGAATGATGTCTGCCAAGTTTTGTGAAAATAGGTCAAGATTTAGATATAGCTCCCATATATAGTTTCGTCCGATTTCATGTAAATGGTGCCCAAAGTCCCTATATATCTTTTGATTTGCACGAAATTTGGCATAACGTACATAATTGAGCCTAGAATGATGTCTGCCAAGTTTCGTGAAAATCGGTCCAGATTTAGATATAGCTCCCTTTTATTATAGATTGATTTTAAGTAATTGGCGTACTAAGGAACCAATAGGAACAAAACGTTCTGAAATTAGTATAACCTAACCTGTGACAAGTTTGTTTGAAATCGCTCAATATTTGGATAAAGCTTCCATATATATTTTCGCCCGATTTCAAGTCCGACTTTACTACTTTCCTTACTGGTTTTTTTTTTTAAATTTAAGCAAATATGAATTTCTTATATTCCACATTGCGAATGTCATTGAAGATACCAAATCTCCGATAAGCTATAGTTCAAAGAACTAACCGCTTGAGAGGTTAAGCCTTATAAAACGACATTAACATCAAACACAAAAATATTGATTTATATTTCGTTGCTTTTTCAATATTTACATTAGCAATATGTGCCAAAGAAAAGCCAGAAGGGAAAGTAGTAAAGTCGGGCGGGGCCGACTATGTGATACCCTTCACCACTTTGGGTATATTCAACAGATGAATGCTAACAGACGTCGAATTCTGCAACCTATACTAAATTTTTCATTTGTTCAGATATAAGGTTGCTTCTTACAATGGGACAATATTACCTAAATTTGTGTCAATTTTGTGTAAAATCGGACAAAAATATATATGTAGAAGCTATATCAAAATCTGAACCGATTTTAATGAGAATAGCAGAGGTTAACTTATATTAACTATAGTTTATTGTACAAAATTGTGTGGTAATCGGAGAAACTTTTGGTCTTTAGTGCACAATTTACATAAAATCGGAAGAAAAAATATATGTAGGAGCTATATATAAATCTGAACCGATTTTCAGGAAACTTTACAAACATCACTACAGACTCATTTCAGTACACTATGCCAAATTTTGTGCAAATCGAAATATGTACAGGGACTTTGGTACACCATTTACATTAAATCGGACGAAAATTTATATAGGAGCTATATGTAAATCCAAACCGATTTTCACGAAACTTAACGTGCACTATTCTAGACTTAAGTAAGTACGCTATGCCAAATTTCGTACAAATCAGAAGATATATAGGGACTTTGGTACACCATTTACCTTAAATCGGACGAAGATATATATGGGAGCTATATCTAAATCTGAACCGATTTTCAGGAAACTTAACACACTTCATTCTAGACCTATTTCATTACGATATGCCAAATTTCGGGCAAATCAAAAGATATATAATGCTTTGGTACACCATTTACCTTAAATCGGACGAAAATATATAAGGGAGCTATATCTAAATCTGAATCGATTTTCAGAAAACTTAACACACATCATTCTAGACCTATTTCATTACGCTATGCCAAATTTCGTGCAAATCGAAAGATATTTAGGGACTTTGGTACACCATTTACCTTAAATCGGACGAAGATATATATGGGAGCTATATCTAAATCTGAACCGATTTTTCCCAATTTCAATAGGGTTCGCCCTTGGGCCAATTAAGTGACCTGTGCCAAATTTCATCCAAATCGGATCATAAATGCGAACTGTACTTTGTTAACAAAAATACATGGACGGACGGACGGACATGCATAAATCGATTCAGAAAGTGATTCTATGCATATTCTCACAAGGAACCATGGGTCTATCTCGATTATTTTTGCCTGTTACAAACATATGCACAAATACATAGGACCCTGTACGATGGTGTGATGTAAGACGTTATTACTCTGCACGAGCAGTTGTAATCTTTGCCGCAAATCTCAGAAAACCCACTACTTTTTGTCCAAGCTGCCATGGTCAACCGCAACTTTGCATTGAATGCTTCAATATTTTGCACTGTAAATAATTTTGTTAATAAACGATTTAAAAAAATCAACAGTATTATTATCTTCTGTCATATATTTATCTAAATATGTTAGGAAATCCTTTGGAAGGAGTCACCCGACGTGGCCTGATGAGAACTCTTGCTGTCACCCGAATACGGGTGCCACGGCAGTTAACTGGTAAAATGATGATCGGTCGATATTTCGAGTGTCAAATCAACCAAAACATAATGTTACCAGATTTTTATTTTATGGCGTAAATATTCACCTCGGAAAACAACATTTGGAAAATATGCCTGGGTTAGAAAGTGGAGCGTTTGACATAAAACCGGCCACAAGGGTGCAAATATCACGAAATATTGCCCAGGCTCAGAATATTAAACCTTAGAAACTGTCGGGATTGCAAATAATATTTCCTATATAATTTCACATCTCTCTTAACGAATGTGGTTGACGTTTTTGTGGAATTCGTTATATATATATATATATATATATATATGCATATATATATATTGATAATTTCAATCATATTTTTCTTACGCATTTTTCGGTATGATCAAGATCCGATCATAACATGAGTTTTCTCCTAGGAGCCCCCATTAATTTTAAATACCTTGTTTGCCATCCTCATGGTGGAGAATATAAAAAGTTCGGCCGGGCCGAATTTAACCTGGCTTTTACTTGTTTTTAATACAAATCATTAATTACCCTTTATGTAGATTGCATTTCATAGGCTTGTGCTTGTTGGTCACAGTTTTGGAATAAAATCCGCTGGCGAGTGAGATTAGATTACAATTCTACGTCGAGAAATTACTGAATGTTACTGGGTAAATTTCCAGCACAATTAAGATTTATACAGTACAGTTCGATAAATTTCTATCAGCCGTTAATTTTAAATGTTGACCAATGTCAAGAAATATTTTTTATTTTATGAATTTTATTCATTAATAATTCTAAAACGAACATTTCAATCATTTTAAATGAAATTACGAGATATTTTGAAAAAAATTTACTCGATTTTGTCTGTTTACTTTTCTCAGTACTTTCTATAAGAGAATAAAAATTGGACACATCCAGTCCAGGTTACAAATTCCCTGAGTTTGAACAGAGAGGAGCCAATAATAGACGTATTCTGGTGTTAATAGTATATTATACTGGATTTTTGTAGATCAGGTGGATTTAATGTTAAATAAATCTTCAATTAGTTCTAATGTACATGTCGTTTCAAACTCTTACGGACCATATATTGGGCGCCATGTTAAAAATAAATAATATCACTGACGTCATAGCCGTAACTCGTCAAATGAAGTGATTGTCAATGACGTAGTTTTTCTTTACAAGCAATACTTTTCCATTGGACTATCCAAAGGCCTCGTATATGATAATGAAAAATATAATAAAGAAACAAGAAATAATCTCTCTAAGCGGAAGAATTTTGAATTTTACACTCACTCCATAGTAGTTACATTACTTAATATTAAAACAATGTTTTATATATTTTACTGACAGATTTGTAAATGCTAACATTAGAGAAAAGAAAACCAAACAATACAAAAATATGAACTTACCCTGGGTCGTGTATCCACAACATACATATAATCGGTATTTGGATTTGTTTTACGTATTGCCTCCAGCATTTGTTCATCCTCCAAGCAGCGGGCACTAAAACCCGACAATGGTTGACTGCAACGGCAAATGGAAGCCTAGAGAGACAGAGAAAAATAGAAACAAAACAAAGAACAATAAGTGGAAGAAGACATCGATATATATAAACCAGTAAGCGGAGCAGTATAGTCGGATGGGGCCAACCATACGATACCATATACACAACTACCACAGAACTCTATCTTTCTGTGGATTTTTATTCCGAGCCTGGGCAATATTTCGTAATATTAGAGAACAACAGCTCTTCCTTACACTGACATATTCCATTCCCCGTGGGTTGTGTTGTGATGTTGTCCTATAAATGTGGCCTATATATCGACTCGAAATAAAAACACAAAAAAATAATTTATAAACACCGAAATTTATAGGCGTTGGCCTTGACCATAACTGGAATCTCATGGAACATTTCAAAGCGATCAGCGCCATATTTCCGCCCTCTAGTGTGGTAAGGGGTTACTAAATAATATCTGAATTCGTTAGTACCTGTAAATATTTACGTCTAACTCCCACATCGAGTACATACGACAATATAATTGGTATCAATTTAATGGCCAACCACTCCTTTGGGATATACTATCAACTTTTCGGCTCTATGTAAATATATACGCTATAGAAAACAAATTTTGTAATTTTTCACACAAAAGTCAGAGTCCATTTGACCCGATAAATCTTGACCGATCTTTATCAAAACAGGCATGCTTATTCTTTCGCCCGATCCCCTTCTCCCTGTAAAAATTCAAGATGTTTGGGCCATAATTGCGGCCTCTGGAGCGACCAGAAAAACCCACAAAAATTAAGTATTTGTTGGTCAATTTCATCCCCTAAATATTAACCGATCTTTACCAAAAACAATAGGGGTCTTCATTGGCCAGAACCAGTGTTGCCAATTTAGCACTTTTAGTGATAGATTTAGCACTTTTTAAACTCGTTTAGCACCAAAAAAATTGATCTAACACCTAGCATATTTTTTAGCATTTGTATTTTTTCAGGATATTTTCAAAATATTCCGTCTATTTGGCTTCAAAAAAATTCCCGTTTTTCGATTTCATATAGACCTATTAAAATTTATTTATGTTTCACGCTATGAGTTTGATTTCCCAATAAAAAAGTGTCAGTAAATCGGTGAACATGTAAAGAAACACGATCCGGCCGAACAGTTTATTCCTTGCACCATTAAATTTGTATAAAAATGTTCGTAAAATTGTTAGATGGTGACTGCGAAATTGTCTGCTAGTAGGTTCTTTATTTGGGAAATGAAGAAAAGACAAAGTAGGAGTAATGTAAAAATCATGAATCTACAATGTAAACGTTCTGGAAAGATGTATTTTATCCAACCGGAATCCAGAATGTCAAATTATAGCCACTTCATAATACCGAAATTGGCTGCGTTCCACTTTATATGGGGGTTATGCCAAGGATAGACCTACATCAAAATTTTTCGCAAACATATTTATTAAGGGAACCCCCCCCCCCCCATTCTCGGTTTTTTATTTTTAAGATTTTTTCCAACTGTGTTAGAAAGAGGACATGTCTGGCTCTCGTATGAACTAGGATTATTGACTTCGCACAACAATTAAAAAAATGGCGGAACTTTGAAAATTTTTTTTGGAAAATCGCCTATTTTTTACCACAAACTAAGTTACAAAATAAGGAAGATCTTCACCGATTGGCCTTATCCTAGTTCATACAAGAGCTACACACTCCCAGAGAAACGTGTCAAAATTTGAAACCGATTGGATTATTAGTTTTTGAGTTATCGTGCCCGCCATTCGTTTTGAGAAAAACGCGTTTAAAGTTTGAGAAGCCCTTTAGCCGTCACTTGATGCTGACACAATAAATCGGCTATATCTTCAAGAGTTCTTGAGATTTTCACTTGACATTTTGTACGAACATTCTAGAATTAGAGTAGATTCGAATTAAATCAAAAAAAAATTTGACACCGAGAATGGGGGGGTCCCCTTAAATTAAATTACAGGGTTTAAGCCTTAAAAGTACGAAATTGGACGGAAATTTTATATTGAGTATATGTCCAAATATAGAAAATTGAAAATTTGCTACCCTAACAGAGCCCATAGAATACGACTAAACCCCTCAAAATACCGAAAATAGTTCGGCACTTTAATATGGGCGCCATGAGCAAACCTTAACCTATGCCAGCCTCTGAAAACGAGTAATGTGATATTGCAATCAATTATATTAAAAAACGACCCCGACCGCTCTCTGGATTTGACCCCGAAACACGGACCAATATAGATCATTCTTGGTGTGGAGATTTTCTACCTAATGGCAATCCAAAATTTCAAATTGAAACAACTTCGGTTGAAAAACGTGCCTAAAGTCATCAAACCACCGAATAATTGAAGTACCGCTCTACACCGAAACATGGAACCATATTGATAATTTTTGGTAGGACAATTTTTTTCCAATGAAAATCCAAATTATAAAATTAGAGCCAATTCGATTGGGGCTACCCTAAAAAGGACAGATATGTCCCATTGTCAATACCAAACATCCTAGAATTTTAGTGATTTGCAAAAAAATATCTGTCTTCAATATTGGAAGCTATATCGTTATTTAAACAGACAGACGAAAATGACTATATTGAAGAATTAAATTCTGATTAAGAATAAATAGGATATCAGTTGAATATTTCGAGGAGTTTCAAGAATATTTAAAATAAACCTACTCCATCTTGTGTGTATAATGAACTTTTAAAAGATAAAGATATCATTATTATCTATATGCGAAGTTCTTTCTATAAACTTTTTAGCGCTTTTATTTGGCACTTTTTTAAATTTTTTAGCACTTTCTCGCATTTTTTTAAACCAAATCTAGCATTTTTTATCGACAAAGTTTTGGCAACACTGGCCAGAACCCATCCTACATGGAAAATTTCGTGAAGATTGGTCCATAACTGTGGCCTGTTTCGTGTTTACAAATTATAATGGATAGACGGACGGACGGACACACATGTCTAGATCGACTCAGCTAGTTGAGATATGACGATCGGTATACTTAAAGATGGGTACAGGACTAATATTTCGCGGCGTTACAAACTCTTGGGGCTGCACAAAGCTATAATACCCTGTGTAGGGTATAACAAATAAAACGAAATTTCCATAACGTGTCATGAAGAGGACTAGACGACCATCATCTATATGTATATTGTTTGTATATCAATAAAAAAATCGAGCAAACATTTCCCTTGTTGCTTACAATATGCTTCAACGGAGTTTTTCGGTTTGTGTGTGTGTGTGTAGGTCTTACTTTTATGTAAAGTGAAGAGAGGATAGAAAAAAAATGTCATAGTACTTAAGGTCAAAAAGAAAAGAAATTCAATATAATGTTCCGTGTAAGAAACAAGACGAAGATGAAGAAAAAAGAAAAACGAAGCAAGATTTTAACATATCAAAAGACCTGTCATTATTATGTCGAATGATACCATAGATGTCGGTGTGCTTATCCATTGATGTATATTCTTTCTTTGTCCTTCCTTTTTCCTTGTTCTTCCTTTTTACATCAGGCTAATTAGGTCATTTGCCGTAGCAATCTTTTAAATTGCTACTCTAATGATATGATTAATTTATTTTTATGAGATAACTGCACGGGTAATGTGGTAATCGTGGTAGCTACTCGGGGATTTCGTTATTCGTATATAGTGGAGTATGTATATATGTATGTATTATGCTAAAGAATGCAACACAAAAGAGAATTTCAAATAAAGGATTTTTAAAGAAAGCTTATTATTGAGTAACTAAACTTGAAATAAGTCCCGCTACAAGAGATAATAAGGCGAGGATTTATTAAAAAATATTTTTTGAACGACCGGAAAAGGCGCGGATTTATTAAAATTATTATTTATCTATACTAATAAAAGAGTAAAGTGATTGACTGACTTAACGATTTATCAGCGCCCAGATGAAACGGCTGAAGCTAGAATCTTGAAATTTTGGTTGAGGGTTACTCTTGGTCCAAAGGTGACAGATAAGGCTGGGTTTTTGGAAATTTGTACTAGAACGGTACGAAAAGTACTAAATGTAATACCATTTGTATATGGCGAACCGGTAGAGCTAGAACTCTTAAAATTTAAATGAATTTTGGACATTCGAACTATAAGTATGCGAAAAGTACTAAAATGTACTAAATTTGGTACAATTTGGTAACATGTGAATGGATAGAACTTGAAATTTGGAATGCGAATTAAGGTTGAGAAGTAGGTTCGATATATGGAGGTGATTTTCAAAGTGTGTACTCATGTATGGTTAGGTTAGGTTTGGGGATGTGCAGTCACATGTGTGACTGCAACACTCTGAGACCGGTTAGGTCCGTTGTGATCATCCACAAGAAAAGATACAGTGAAGAGAAGAGACCAAGAAGACAGATCTGTAGGGGAGAGAAGAGTAGTAAATTAAAGGAGTGAAGAATGAGTGAAGGTCGATGGTCCTATGAGTCAGACAGAAAAAAGTATTACGTGTCAAGGTTATGTGCTCCTAACCATTTTATGTATCTAATTATGATGTAGATTAGAGCAGGTTCGGTTGATGAGAAGAAGCTGAGACCCGATGGAAAATGAGCACTCATTAGTCTGTGTCGCCTGTAAGCCAGGGCTGGACAGTGACACAGGAGATGCTCAATTGTCTCCGTCTCCTCCTCGTCAACACAGAGTCTACAGTAATCAGTTGCATCAAGATCCCATTTACTAGTAAGGGCCCGTCATCACTCTAATTTCAGCTTTGTTCAGGTTCAATAGTGAGTGCGTTCTTTTGGTAGACAGAGTCGGCCAGATTGATCTTGACACGTTGCACCTACGTTCGTTGTGCCAAAGTTCGCGGGCTGTTTCGTCAAAGAATGTCTCAAAGTTCCTATAGAAAAGACATATGGGTGGTTTAAGTGAGTCATCAGTTTCTAGATCGGTGGATTGAGATCCTCGTCTAGCTAGTTCGTCCGCTCTTTCATTACCCATGATGTCACAATGTCCTGGTACCCAACACAACCGATAGCTATGGTTAAGTTCTTCCAGAGCTGGTCTACACTTGAGGACGGCTTCGGATTTGATGTGGCAAGATTTGATGGCTTTAAGAGCAGCTTGACTATCCACAAAGATAGTCACCGGTTCAACGACCTCAGCATCCAGGTTTTTTATCAATTCCGCTGCCTTCCAGATCGCGAAGATTTCAGCTTGGAAAACACTACAATTACTATCCAGCTTGTAGGTCAACTCAAGGCCTAACCTTTCACAGTAGACGCCTGCCCCAATACCTTCTTCCATCTTGGATCCGTCTGTATAGAAGGCCAGACCGTCCAGAGGAGGGTTGCTTCTTTTCCAGTCGTCTCTACTAGGGATAACGACATCTACATCGTCAAATCTAAGGATTGCCCAAAGGTACAGTTCCGCCAGAGTTTTTGTTCGTGTAGATTTAGGGCGCTACGCGTAGCCTGAAACTTAATGCTGAGGCCTAAAGGCTTGAAGTACTGTATTGCGTTCAGAGATGCTTGTGGCGTACTCCTTCTGGCTCCTGTAACTAAAATCGCGGCGGCTCTTTGTATCTTGTCTAATTTACTAGATGTCGACTTGAGGCTCAGACAGTTCCACCAAACAAGAGAGCCATAGGACAAGATGGGCTTCACCACAGTGTTATACAACCAGTGTATAGTCGATGGTTTAAGCCCCCAGCTTTTCCCAATAGAGTTCTTGCATTCATAGAGTGCAATCATTCCTCTCTTCGCCCGCTCCTCAGCGTTCCTTTTCCATCGTAGTTGACAGTCCAGGATTGTGCCGAGGTACTTTACTTCGGGAGAAAGGTGAAGTTGCACCCCATCCAATGTTGGTGGGACAAAAACGCCGAGCTTACGCTTCCTAGTAAACATTACCAGTTCCGTCTTCGTTGGATTTACTCCAAGACCATTTGACCTGGCCCAGCGTGACAGCGTCAGTAAGGCCCTTTGCATAAGCTCAGAGATTGTAGACGGAAATTTTCCGGAAATCAATATCACCACGTCGTCCGCGTAAGCTACAACTTTGATACCTTCCCCGTCAAATTCCCTCAAAATGATATTAATTACCAGTAGCCATAGTAACGGCGAAAGCACCCCTCCTTGAGGTGTGTCTCTAGTTACCGTTTTCCTGATTTTTGTATCCCCCACACTTGAATTTATAATTCTGCTGTTAAGCATGTATACGAAAAGTACTATATGGTACTATATTTGGTACAATTTTTAATTGGAGGTAAAAATGGTGGTAAAAATGATGAATCGCAAAATTTAAAATTAACATTACCGCCGGAGAGTAGGATTGGAATATGTACGTAATTTTGGAAATTTTGTACTTATGTGTGCGATAAGTACTAAATCGTAATTGGTACAATTTGGATTTTGGTTGAACCAATAGAGCTGTGTTTCTGAAATTTGGAGTTATAGTACCATATTTGGATTTGGATGGACCGATAGAGCTGGAATATTGACATTTGAGTTAGGATCATTGTTGGGAGAGAATTGAGCTATTTAGGAAGTTTTGGAAATTCCTACTAATTTTGTGCAATTTAAATTTTGAGTGAACCAATGTATGAAGTTTTGAAAATTTGTACTAAATGGTACCGAATGCCGATTTGAGTGAACCGATTGAGCTGGAATTTTGAAATTTGGCGTTCGGATCACTGATGGGGTGTAGGACTGGGCTTTGTGGAAAGTTTTGGAAATTCGTGCCAATGTGTACTAAATCTGGTACAATTAAAATTTTAGGTGAACCAAAAGCGATGGAAACCTTGCAATTTGGAAATAAGGTTACTGTTGGAGTGTAGGATAGAGTTATGGATATAGTTTTAGAAATTCATACTTATGGGTACTATATTGAACTAGATTTGGTACAATTTGAATTTTGTATGACCGGAAAGAGATGGGATCTTGAAATTTGAAGTTATGGTACCAAATTTGGATTTGGGTGAACCGATAGAGCTGGAATATTGAAATTTGATGTTATGATTACTGGAAATTCGTACTAATGTGTACTAAATTTGTTACAAATTAAATTTTGGGCCAAGCTATGAAGCTGGAATCCCGACATTTTGAGTTAGGGTTACTGTTGGGGTGTAGGATTGGGCTATGTGGAATATTTTGGAAATTTGTTCTATTTGTTCATGATGTAGGTAGTAATGGAAATTTGTACTTATGTGTACTAAATGGTACTAAATACAAATAAATGGATTTAGGTGAACCGATAGAATCCTGAAATTTGGAATTAAGATTGGGGTATGTGGGAAGTGTTGGAAATTCGTATTTATGTTTCTTAAAGTAGGTAGCTATGGAAATTTATATTAATGTTTACTAACTGGTACTAAATTTGGATTTGGGTGAAGAATTTGGATTTTTTGTCCAAATAAGTATTACAAGAGTACAAAGGGTAAAAAATGACACCAAATTTACTATAGAGCTGGATTTCTGTTGCGGTCAGGATTGGTGTGTAGGGTTGACATATGGAGGTAGGTTTGGAAAAATGTACAATAAGATAACATAGGTACTAAATAGTTCTAAAATGTTGATAATGATTGGTATTGAGTTTTGAATACTTCCCACATTCGCTAACGAAGTAGGGGGTATATGTTAGTTTAAAATATTTTTTGAAGTACTTAAAAAGGCGTGGATTTATTAAAAAATACTTTTTAAAAAACTGATAAAGGCGAAGATTTATAAAAAAAAATATTTGAACGACTTAAAAAGGCGTGGATTTATTAATAATATATTTTCAAAGACTTAAAAAGGTGTGGATTTATTAAAAATATTTTTTGGAAGATAGGAAAAGGCCCGGATTTATTAAAAATATTTTTTTACAAAATTGGAAAAAGCCCGGATTTATTAAAAATATTTTTTGAAAGATTGGAAAAGGCCCGGATTTATTAAAAATGAACATTAGAGTTACTAGAACAAAATTCATCACGTCATGACATGCAAAAACAAGTAAGGAAAGTAGTAAAGTCGGACGGGGCCGACTATATGATACCCTTTACCACTTTGGGTATATTCAACAGATGAATCTTAACAGACGTCGCATTTTTAAGGATCAGTAAAATTATATTGGACCCATAAACATATCTTTCTGCAACCTGTACTAAATTTTTTATTTGGTCAGATATAGAGTTGCTTCTTACAATGGGACAAAATTATGTAAATCAATTTAAATCATATATCAGTCGGATACCCGTTGATTATTTGGATACATATCTGATAAACATGAGGAGTTTGGTGCACTATTTACTTCAAATCGGACGAAAATATTTATAAAAGCTATATCGAAATCTAAGCCGATTTCATTGAAACTTGTCACAGAATATCGGACACATTTTGAGTTCTTGGTGAATTATTTACTTAAAATCGGGAGAAAATATGTATGGTAGCTCTATCCAAATTTGAACCGATTTCAATAAAACTTTCCACATGCTAGGTTATATAAACTATATAACTGTGGGTCTTTGGTGCACATTTTACTTAAAATCTGACGAAACTATATATAGGAACTATATCTAAATCTGAACTAATTTCAACAAAACTTGCTACACGTTATCTCATAATAATTTCTATAAGTTGTGCAACATTTTGTGCCAATCGGACCCACCTGGGGTCCGATTGGCACATTCAAGACTTTATTCAGTACGCTGTACCAAATTTCGTGGAAATCGAAAGATATATAGGTACTTTGGTACACCATTTTTCTAAAATCGGACGAAAATAGATATGGGAGCTATATCCAAATCTAAACCGATTTTCAGGAAACTTAACACACATCATTCTAGACTATGTTCAGTACGCTATACCAAATATATATGGGAACTATATCTAAATCTGAACCGATTTTTCCCAATTTCAATAGGGTTCGTCTTTGGGCCAAATAAGTGACCTATGCCAAATTTCATCCAATTCGGATAATAAATGCGACTTGTACTTTGTTTACAATTTTACATGCACAGACAGACAGACGGACGGACGGACATGCATAAATCGACTTAAAAAGTGATTCTATGCATATTCTCAAAAGGAACCATCTGTCTATCTCGTTTCCTTTTGCCTGTTACAAACATATGCACAAAGACATAATACCCTGTACCACAGTGTGGTGAAGGGTATAAAAAAAACCTATGGCGAATTTGTCCACCTGTCTTTTTAATATACTCCCCATAAGAAATTCTCCACCACTCAAAATTGTTATAAGCCCAAAAACAATATTTTAACTCACCTTATTGGAATGTAAATAGGTTAAAGCTGGCAAACGGCCCTTTGAACGAAAACGTGAACTGCCAATTAACATGGCGGTATTAGCCTCAGCCGGTACATATATTTGACGCGGATATGTGTCACACAGCTCATAGTTCGTGTTCAAATTACACAATGTCCAAATGTCATTGGGTACACGCATTCGCTTGAATTCCGCCTCCAATTTGAAAAAATCCCAACCGGCATTTTTGGGAAAATCATCTTTGGCGGGTTGATAATTAAAACAATATAATTTATTGATGGATACTGAAAGAAGAGAATGGGAAAGAAATACAGATTAAAAAAGGGTTTTAAACAAATGATTGAGAATATTTACCAGGTTGATAGAGTTTCAATAGGGATGTATAGACATCGTGACATTCAGAATCTTTGGGCACCACAAATGTCACCGATAAAAAGGTTTTACAGCGTATCAGCAGCGGTGATCCGGTAGTTGTTAGGGGTAATTTTTCAATATTGGCAATGTGCATGTGAAGAATCTGAAAAGTTAATAAAAAAAATAACATATTAAAAATCAGTAAGGATAAGAGAACGCAAAAACCATTGGGTCTTTAGTGCACAATTTACAATAAATCGGAGGAAATCTGAACAGATTTTCACGAAACTTAGCATACATGATTCTAGACTAAAATCAGCACACTATGCCAAATTTCGTGGAAATCGACAGATATATAGGGTCTTTGGTGCACTATTTACATAAAATCGGACGAAAATATATATGGTAGCTATATCTAAATATGAACCGATTTTCGCGAAATTTAACACACGTCATTCTAGACCTAATTCAGTACGTCATACTAAATTTCGTTCAAATCCAAAGGAATATAGGGGCTTTGGTACACTATCCACATAAAATCGGACGAAAATATATATGGGAGCTATATATAAATCTGAATCGATTTTCACGAAATTTGACACACATCATTCTATACTCAAATCAATACGCTGTGTAAAATTTCGTGCAAATCGGAAGATATATAGGGACTTTGGTGAACCATTTACCTAAAATCGGACGACAACATATATGGGAGCTATATCTAGATCTAAACCGATTTTTACGAAACTTAGCACACATCATTCTAGACTTATTTCAGAACGCCATTCTGAATTTCGTTCAAATCGAAAGGAATATAGGGACATTGGTACATTAGTTTACATATAATCAGAATAACATATACATGGGAGCTATATTGAAATCTGAACCGATTTTCACGAAATTTGGCACACATCATTCTAGACTCAAATCAATACACCGTGCTGAATTTCATGCAAATCGAAAGCTATATAGGGACTTTGGTGCACCATTTACATAAAATCTGACAAATATATATATATATATATATATATATGGGAGCTATATCTAAATCTGAATCGGTTTTCACAAAATTTGGTACACATCACTCTGGACTTAATTCAATACGCCATGCTAATTTTCGTGCAAATTGAAAGATATACAGAGGCTTTGGTGTACCATTTACAATAATCTTATGAAAATATATATGGGAGCTATATCTAAATCTGAACCGATTTTTACGAAATTTAGCGAATATCATTGTAGACTTAATTCAGTACGCTATGCCAAATTTCATGCAAATCGAAAGCTATATAGGGACTTTGGTGCACCGTTTACATTAAATCGAAAGTATATATGGGAGCTATATCTAAATCTGAACCGATTTTTCCCAATTTCCACAGGGTTTGTCCTTGGGCCAAATAAATGATTTGCAAAATTTTATCCAATTCGGATCATAAACGGACATGTATAAATCGACTCAGAAAGTGATTCTATGCACAGTGTGGTGAAGGGTATAATTATTTTTAAATTCAAACATACTCAAAATATTATTAATTTAATTTGGACTTCTTCGGAGGAAGACATCATTGCTCTTTGTTTGGAAGACGACGTTTTTGTCTTCTATGGAAAATTTCTTTTTTGTTCTGTAAGGTAGAATATACTTTGGTCTTTTCTTTAAGAAGTCCTTTTAGTCTTCTATAGAAGAAGACCTCTTGACCTTTCTCAGTAACTTTTTATTACAGATATTATACATCTAGAGATCTTCTATACATAAATACCTTTCAAGTATATTCATCGGGATATAAATACCTTGTAAAAGACTTCTGCAAAGAGAAGACATTTTACGGTTCAGGATCCTTTATTTCTTAACATCATAACATTGTTTCAACCAAAAATCTACTTCCATTGACCACCCTTCGTTTTCAAAATTTCTGTCGTGTTTGATTGACATCTATATATCACTTTCCTTTCCATTATTGTTTACCAACATTTGGGCAAATATAATCTCCATTATTCCCGCAAAACCCATTAATTTAGATTTGTAGCTTTTGTACTAATTTGATTTTAATCTTTGGCAAAAATTCAATTAAAATTTCTATTGTACAAGTGTGATGATGATGATGATTTATTGATTTAAAATGTTTATAAAGAAGACAACCTACCTCCCTCCCCCCTCCATTTTCTGCTTCACTACATATATACATGCGATACATTTTGTTCATTGACTTACATCCGACCGCTTTGGATGATATCCAAAAAAATTGCCAATAAATTCATGGCATCGCATCATTTGAAATGACATTTTCATGTCGTTTGAACAGCAATTTAACAAAAATGCTTGACAACATATAACCCCCCTCCAACTACCAAAAAAATTGAACGCAAGTCACAAATCGGTTGCCGCAACCCCCTCCCTCTCAACAACAGTTGAGTAAATAGTTCATGGCTGTTAAATAAACAATCATCATTTCAAAATTTCATTTATTGTTTTGTCAATTTTTTTTGGAATATTGGATTTTTTCCTGCTGATTCTTTAGTTAAACAAAATATATTTCTATGGGAAGGGAGAGAGGTATTTTTTTGCGATAAAATTGTTATCGATTTGTTTGTGCTAAAAAATGGATTTTTGTTGGCGCAAAAAACTTCTTTTGTTTTTGTTATTGTATAAAAAAACAATAGTGAAATATTATTGATATTTTATTGGAGAGTAGTTATTGTAAACTGTATAGAATATGAATATTTTATAAAGCCGTTGCAATGTATGGAACACAATGGCGCATACGTTATGGCATAGCAAATAAACCATTATTAAATGTGAAGTATACGCCCCAATACACCTAACAAAAATTTAAGTAAAAAGTCTGATTTCTTGGCTGGATATCAATTACGGGACTCAAATAAAATACAAATCTATTTTTCCAGAAATTTTTTCAACAGAATTATGTTGTGTATTGGAGATGAAAAAATAAACAATAAATATTTGGCTTTTTGTATAAAGGTAAAGAAAATTCTTCAATTAAAGACCAAAAAGATTGGATTGTATTTTTCTTTGACGACCAAGGAAGACCAAAAGCTCTTCCTTCATAGAAGAACCTTATACAGAAAAATTCAGTACACCGCAAGGGTTTCTGTCATAGAAAACCAAAAGGTCTTCATCCATATATACCAGCATGCTTTCCTTCATAAAAATCAGAAAGTTATTTATATAATACCTGAAGATAATTATGTATTCGATTTTAAAAAGTCGTCTTCAATTCAAGACCAGAAAATGTTTTTCTGTACAAGACATGAATATCGACTTTCTCAAAGACATGACGATATACTCTAACAGCAGCGATTTAATAATATTGTTGTTAGGCTTTATTCCATAGTAGGTCAAGAGGACAAGAAATAAGACACAGAATTCCAGACATTCAACTCTGAAATTGGAAGTTTAATAACTTCCGCATAAAATTTTCAAAAATAAAGATATCGAGTTGGGTTTTCATTTTTAAATCGGGTACTTTATTCACTAAAGGGGACCCAACCCATTCTCGGTTTCAAAAAAATTAGTTTTTTTAATTCGAACATAGACTAATTACAGAATGTCCCTTTAAACTTTCTAGTGAAGATCTCAAAATAGGCAATTTATTGTATTAGCATCATGTGACGGCAGAAGTGCTTCTGAATCTATAAACGTTTTTTTTTTTCTAGAAACCGTGTTCTTTAAAAATGGCGGGCACGATAACATAAAAACAAATAATCCGTTCCAAATTTTAACACGTTATTCTGTACATATATAGCTATCGTATGAACCAGGATAATAGCAAAAGGTCAAAATATTCCTTACTTTCAGGACTTTTTTTAAAAATAACATTTCACATGTCCAGCATTTTGTTAATTTCTGTGCGATGTTAATACCAGAGTCAAACATGTACTCTTTCGAATGTCGTTGGAATTTTTGGAAAGACGACGTTCTTTTATAGCTGCAAAAATATTATCTAAATAATAACCGAATGTTCTCTTCTATTCAAGATCAGAAATATTTTTTTCAAAGCAGACAGGAATATATACTTTCACAAAAGTTACTCAATGACCTGGGGCTGAATTCTATAGTATCAGACGTATCGTCCCGTCCGCTCGACTATATAGACTCATACACACGTCCGGACACGGGTCATTCAGGCCGTCTATACTCCCCCATCCTTCAGATCGTTTGTTTAGACTCACTGGCTTCTGGAACTTCTATACAATCTAGCACTTCCTAGATCATCTATATAGGCTTTCAGGTCCTTCAGTTCATCTATATATTTACCCCTGGGCCTTTAGCTTTATACTGACTACATAATTTCATTTAATATACGGACTACCCGGGCCACCAGTTTGTTTTTTGTATAGATTCTGTCTAATCAGTTCGTGTATAGAGTTACTCTCGTTTCATATGTATACCCGGAATTTTTAGCTGACTGTATATGCATACAAAAATATGTCAAGTCCAAAGACATGAAAGTATGAAAAATTGTAATATTAATAATCTGAATTGATTCGAAGGCCTTCCAAAAATAATAACTTCAGAAAGGCCTTCAATCTGAAGAAGACCAATTGGAGGACCTTCTATATATAGAATATCTCCCGAAAGCTTTTCTATCAATAGGATAACTCTTGAGAGATTATCTACAAGATCTAGAAGTCCAAAATGGCTTCCATGAAATTCTATAGTTCTATATCTTGAAAACTATACATAAATACTTTTGATATGTAAATGACATCTAGAAATTTCTTCTATTTACCAAAAATCCTATATCTTCTTCTATTGAAGATCCGGAAAAAAATTTAGAGGATCAATAGAATAATCTGAGTTATTTTTTCTATAGTTCAGGAGGATTTTTTTCATAGAGACCTTTGACATGTTTTATACCTACAGAAGAACTCCCGAAATATTTTATATTAGGTTGGGGAAAAATAAATCCATTTTTTTTCTCCGATTTTATCAACATTTTCGACGACCGGTCTACCTGTGCAAGGTGCTTCTTTAACATCAAACTCACAACTGAATGCACCAAACAAAAAACAGCAAAATAATTTTTTTACTGCGAAATGTCCCCCTTCCAACGTGCATAAATCTAAAATTGTTTGATCGATACCTTAGGAGAAATCTATCAGTACAGTCATCTGAAGAAAAAATAATGGATTTCTTTTTCCCCA